TCTGGGGAATGCAAACTAATGTGTAATTACAGGAAGCAGAGCAGTGGTTACGTGTGGACAGGGAGGAGGGGCAGGGGAGAGGAGCTCCAAAACACCCTGGGACCCTGGGGAGTGATGGGCGTGTTCGTTTTCTTGATTGAGGTGATGGTTTCATGGGTAGAGATGTATATCAAAACTTAACAAAGTGAATACTTTAAATGTGTGCAGTTTATTATATGTCAGTTATGTCTTAATAGCTGTTTTTAAAAATATTGCAGTGAGGTATCACTACACTGCCCCTAGATTGGCTAAAATGTAAAAGACCAACAAGACCAAAATTGCCAGTGATGTGGAGCAACTGGAATTCTACATTATAAGCGGGATTGGGAAATTGTGCGACCACTTTGAAAAAAAGTTATGACAGTTTCTTATAAACTGAATATCCTCGTATACCTAGTCCGTGACCCAGCAGTTTTACTGCAAGGTATTCCTTCAAGTGAAATGAAAACACATGTGCATAAAAAGACTTCTACAGGAATGTTCACCCAGCTTTAGTTTCCAACAGCCCAGGTGTCCATCAGTAGGACTGTAAATAATTAAACTCTGGTATATTCTTGTAGTGGAATATTTCTTGGCAATAAAAAATGATATACTACTGATACACAGCATGAAAGAATCTTAAACATCATGCTGAGTAAAAGAAGCCTTACAGGAAAGAGTCACACTGTGTGATTCCATTTACATGAGATTCTAGAGCAGGCAAGAGTAATCCATGGTAGAAAAAAATCAGAACTGTTTGCCTTGGGGGGGAGGGGCTTCACGGAACTTTCTGGGGTGATGAAAATATTTTATATCTTAATAGAAGTTTTGCTTCTACAGCATGTGCATTTCCTTAAGCAGCAAAAGTACACTTAAAACCTGTGCATTTCATCGAATATAAATTTTATAGCAAAGAAACTGAACAAATGTTGAACTCTTTTCAAAAATATGAATGCCGTATTTAGAGAACATTTACTGATGCCTGTAATTTACTTTGAAATGCAGCAAAACGGGGATGGATTAACAGATGGATAGAGGAATGGAAAGACACGTGATACAGAAAATGTTGACCATTGAGTGGTGGCTATACCCGTATTCACTGTGAAATTCTTTCAACTTTAGTGAACACTTTTGTCGTTTTTTTAATGGAAAACTTGTTTTACTCCTGTCACAAATTCCAGCTTACGAGGAGAGTGTTCTATTGTATCAGATTTATGAAAACACGTAGCCACTGTTTGCTAAGATCTGACTTGAACCCTTCCTCTCCCAACACTAGAAAGTCAGTAAATAACTACCCATCTTCATGTGACATCAATTGATAGACATTACCAAAACTTCAGTGTTAGAGCCCCTAGCCTTGGTTGTCACACTGTCAGCATTGCTTCGGAGGGGAGTCAGTGTGAATGGCAGTTCGAGCAGATCTATAAAGTGAAACAATCCTGTTACCTCGCCGTGATATGTGGGGATGGAGAAAAGGAGGGAGGCTCGAGAGAAGAACACCATGTGTCATGAAATCCACCATTATTTTATACTAAGTCAAGAACTATAAATGGAGTGTTTGTAATTATAAAATAATGAGATGAAATCAAGGGATAATAAAACAATCGAGTCATGCTGTTCTGATTTTCGTACTCCTTAGATCTTTTCCAGGCCACTCCACCCAAAGTGATAATTGACTGCTCATATAAATCACTACTCTTTTCTTCTTTGAAATCTAATAGAATGCAAACTGATAGAATTTAAACCCACTGTTGTTTCTGGCTCTGGTGGATTACTTGAGTACACACGTGTGTGAACCATCTTTTCCTAGTTTCCATTGTTTTGTGGTCCTGTGCTCTTGGCCTTGCATTTCTGAATAATTGGGTGAAAGAATCTCTAGCATTCACAAAATATCACAGCAGTCCTTTTTCAAATTTCAGATTTTCTTCAGTTTCTTAAAATAACAGATACTAAGTCATGCCATTTACCTAAATAAATGTATATTTATAACTTACAAATAATTGACAATTAAAAGCCCGGCTATGTAAAACTAAAATGAAAACAGTGAACACGATGCTCTTGGTTCTCCCTGAACAGAAACTTTTGACTGGGTTTCCATGTCGATGCACTTTGAGTAATTTTCTCTTGCTAATACTTGAGGGATGTGAAGGAGGCAATGGGAGAAAATACGACATAAAAGTGTGTTTCTCTTTCAAGGATTATATGCCTAAGATCACTGCCTATTCTTTCCTGATGCAAGCTTCTTGAGTTCACCACCACCACCACCCCACCCTGCTGGCTGTATAGGACAGCATATTCAAGAGTCATTTCATAGGATTGTGTAAGAGAGACCATCCAAGTCATTTCAGCCTACCTTGCTCATTTTATAGATGAAGAAACTGAGTCTCAGATTGAAATATAATTTATTTTTATTGTAAAATAAAGGAACATTAGACCATCCCTAAATAATAAGTCCAGAAACTCTTATTCCTCCATTTTAGTTCTTTCAGCACATATTGATTCCTCACTTTTTATGTTGGGCATCCATTAGACCCTGTGAAAACGGTATTGACTAAGACAGTCCCCACATGGGGGAGTTTACAGTCTATTTAGAGAATCAGATAATACAATACAGAATGTTAATTATGCAATCATATGAGTAAACACAGTGTTACTGGAAGCTCCTTTTCCAGCTTTGGGTGGAGGGTAGTCAACAAAGCCTCCTCACTGGGGTGAATTCTGATCCGAGCTCTGAAGGACAGTTACCCAGGTGAAGGATTGAACAGGTATCAGAGCTAAAAGAGCGGCATGTACAAAGAGACAGTGAGAAGAGACTGGTACAGAAATTCCCTGTGTAGTTGCCTCTAGCTCTGTAATCACACCTTCTTCCAGGTAGCACAGTTCCTTGCATATAATAGCTATTTTTGGTTTTCTTTGGCCATTCATTGCATTCAGTGCACTTTGCCTCAGGTAGTTACTCTTTACACTTACAATCTAGCACCTCTACCAGGATGTACGCTGCCTTTAGAGGAATGGCCATATCCCTTTACCCTGTGTCACCAACAACCATGCAAAATGCTTAATTAGCCCACAGTAGATGTGAACTCCTTGCATAACTGTGTCTCCTGACACATCCTGGAGGTTCTCTGTTCTGACTCTGCAACCTTATTTTTTAAACTTTTTCTAGAATCTCTAAACTCTCCATGGCCTCCCCATAGCTCCTCCTAGTGTATCAGCTACCTCTGTGGCTGGTTGTGGAGCTCCTAATCTGGAATTTTCTTTAATCCAGAAGTTTGTATCAATTAGGTATATAACAGCAGGTGCTTTAAAAGCAACTGATGTGAAAAAACCCTGATTTTTGGCATGTAATTAAGTGACTTTAATTTTATTTAAATTAACTCGGTTCCAGCAAGGTCAAGTGCCTTCCTACCCCACCCCACCAACCTCCCTCCAAATAAACTTTGTAAGATGGGCGGGGTGAAGGTAATGTTAATTTGGAGACCTTATACTGGTCATTGATAGCATAGCCAAAATAAAATAGTGACCCAGGCCATAAAAATCATTATAAAATGGGCCTTCATTCTTTCTTTATCAAATGCGTGTGAATGCATGGTTCTGTCTGTACCTTATAAAACTTTAGACTATTCTATGAGTGTCTGCCAGGTAGTACTATAGAAATGAATATAAGTAACCGAAATACCAGGAAGTAAGAATAAGTGCTATAAATGAGATCTAAACATGAGGTTATGTGAATTGAATAGAGAGGATCATCTTTTTGGACCTGGAAGGGAGAAGTGGTGGGCGTGTCTAAGTTTGGGTGGCATTCTGATAGATCACTTAGTTCTGTGTTGTTATTCCATGCCTTTCTCATAAGCAGGCAGGCAGGAAGTTTGTCGTATTAGAGGCTTAGAATATATGGAAGGTTTGGAACAACCACTGAAGAACTTGGGGTCAAAAGAAATTAACAAAATGATTGGCATCAGTGGCAGGTGCCCAAAGTGGCTTGTATTTATAATGTACCCAGTTATACAGCTGGAGTTTACAATGCCCATGCACTGAGAATTCATATTACATGTTACCTGCCTTCTTTACATAAATATAAATTACATATATAGATAACGTATATGCACGTTACCATGATCTGACTCATGCATAAAGTTTACCTCCTTCAATACTCTATACCTCTTCTATATTCCCCATGTATAAATATTAACTTATATAAAATGGAGGTGGCAGCATTATAATACCTACCTCATAGAACTGTTGCATAAGCTGTTGGTACCAATTATGATTGCTAGTTTAGATAGAAGAAGAAGAATTTGTAAGTTCTAGCTATTACCGAGTTTATGTCAGTACCGCCAGCTATCAAGAATTCTCTAATTTTGGAACCAACAAGTTTTGCAGACTGGCTTTTACAGAGGGATTGCGTGTTGCGAAGTGAAATGAGCAAAGTTGGCTCCCCACACCCAAGAGATTCGCCATGATTAACTGAGAAAGAGTCTGCATACTGAGTGTTAACTGAAAAGTAAATGTCTTAAATTTGGGCAAAACTTTCCTTTTCAATCTCATTTGAAAAAATGAAAAAGTTTGTGAAATTTGGAGATAGCCACCATTTTCAGAGTCCCGGTGAGTCAGTTCTACCAAATACGCAGCAGTTTTGACCACACCCACACTAAGAAGCATATATATGTCGGCATCACCACACACGACACACATAGGAGCACACAGACGGTTAACGGAAACCCACGTGTCAGGAAACAAAGCCCATCCTGCTACATTCCTTAGTAACTATTACTCTAGTGTGTCTCTTTTTTTTAGTGCTGTTTATAATCCACTAAACGAATTACACAATTTACTGATGAACTGAAGCCTGCACTTTGAAAAATACTACCTATTACGAGATTTTTCTGACATCAGTTTCAATTTCTAAATAGTTTTTATCTAGCATCAATTCTCAAAATCAAGTTTATATTTCTAACTCTGGCTTGTTTTCTATTACTCAGGTGTCAACATGGTTTTTTACCACCTTTTCTGTCTCAGGACTGAAGGACAAAATCCACCACGTGGACAGCCTCCACCAGCTCTTCTCTGCCATCTCCCCAGAGCAGATCGACTTTCCTCCATTTGTCCTTGAATATGATGCCAGAGTAAGTACTAGGAGTGTCCCTCCCCTGCTGTGGTACCTTAACATGCAGTAGGGCGGTGCTTGTAAGTACAACACCCCTTCATTGTAAGACGATGTGAACGCAATTAGTGGGTTTTAGTAAACTTGACGGTGTTATTTAACATGTTTACTACAGTAACTTGAGGAAAACGCTTTGTCCTTGGAGAGAGCTTTTCCCCCAGTAAACAGCAATGGGAGAGTTTTCTGCTGTAGGGTTGAAGCTAATCCTTGGTGGTTATTGTCAGTTTTCTGCCACCTTTGAGACATACCTCTGCTTAATTTTCTTAAGATGGTATAGCATTTCATCTACATAAATAAACCCTGAAGAATCTATTGGTGTCCATGTTCAGTATTAATTGGAAACCAGGTAGCCTATCTTAGTCTCTACTAAAAGTTTCATTTTGCTAAAAGTTGGAATAACGTTTTTAAGCTCATCAACCAATAACATTAGTATTATTACTTCTAGATGCATTTATGAATCTATTACTTAAACACTAATAAAGGGCTACTCTTGAATTTCATCAAAGCTCTGTTCTGTTGTGCGTATTCACACAATCCCTTTAGTAGGACACACACACACAGACACACACACAAAGTGAGGAACTTGCTTGGCCAAAAGATCACCCGTCTCCTTATTTAATTGTTGCTGATTACGTTTCTTTCTGCATGAGTCAGGGAATATATTTGACAATTATATGAAGTTTGAAATGAATTCTTCTTTCCTAATTATTGTACAACATGTATATAGTAAAATAAATATCCCAGAACACACTTTCTCTTTCCCGTTTCTTGAACTTCAGCAATGATGTCTGTTCTCCTTTCTGTGAAGAGCAAAGTATTTAATGTGCTCTATGGCTCATAAAATTTCATGTTGGGCTTTTGCACAGAGAGCACTTCTAACTGGAGTGCTTTTTAAGCAGTTGGGTACAAAGACTGTTGATTATATGGGAGGGGAAAAAGAACATGAGTTCTGTACGTACTGCAGACTGCCGGAGTAGAAAATGGCCTTATTATTATTCTTTCAAACTATATACATCACTTTTCTTAATATTTTTTTTAAAAAATGGGTAGCAGAAAATGTGAAAGTCACTAAAAGACATCTTGATACCAAAAATTTGGAGTCACAATTGGAAGCTGGTGTCTGGCTTTATAATATATTTTCTGGGATAGAAATATACCAGTTGGGTTGCCTTGGTTAGAAAACCCAATGGGCTGTTTTTTAAGCCAACATATTTTCTGTGTACTTAGAAACCTAGCAAGCAGGATTTCATTAATATCCACACCACACTCAAGCTTGGTTTTATTTTTTGTTTGTGTGTTTGTTTTAGGTTTTTGTTATCTTTTATATATCAAATGCAGGCCTAATTAATAATATGATTAATCAAAATTAAATAAAATAATCTATAATCTAACACTTGGGTCATTGGATCATCTCTCTGTACCTGTACTAGAGCTTTCTAAAACTGAGATATTAGGCCATCTGTGTATAAAAGCCAAAGGGAAGAATAAAAAGGAGGAAGAAACAAAAGAAGGTGTCAGGAGATGACGTGGAAAGGGCAGGCAGAGGGCAGATCACTAGATAGTAGAGCTTTACATGCTATCTGCAGCACGTTGATCTTGAACCTCGCTGGAGTTAGGGGCATCAACACCTCCCACACACACACGCAGTTGCAAATCGCATATAACTTTTGACTCCCCCAGAATTTAACTACTAATAGCCTACTGTTTACTGGAAGCCTTACAGATAACATAGTTGATTAACAAATATTTTATATACCTGGGGTGCCTAACAAATGTATACACATTTTACGAAAGGAAACAACTGTATTAAAATTGTAATACTATATACCGATAACAAAAGATGAATACAAGTCACGTTTGACTTCTGCAATTACAAGAGGTGCTCAAAGTGGTTACCATCAGTATAATTTTAATACAGTTTTTTCCATTCTTAAAATGTGTATACAATTTTTGGCACCCTCTATATGTATTATATACTCTATTCTTACAGTAAAGTAAGCTAGAGAAAAAAAATGCTAAGAAAATCATAAGAAAGAGAAAATACATTTACAAGTATTGTAACTATCAATACTATAAGTTTATGTCATCTGTTTACAAGATGAATCATCTGTCAGTACCTACATCAATATTGTCTTATATGATACAAAATACTGTAGATGTTATATGTACCGTATTTGCCGGCGTATAAGACGACTGGGCGTATAAGACGACCCCCTAACATTTCCACTCAAAATACAGAGTTTGTTATATACTCGCCGTATAAGACCACCCCCTCTTCCGCACACCTTCCACACACCAAATAAAAGGTAAAACAATATCAGATTTGATTTGGCCCACTGAAGTGCAAACAAGCGTATTGTATTTCGTGTCACCACATAACCGTTTTGGCGATGTTGAGCCACCATGTCTGCTACATGTTTTTCGAGTTCTGGCCAGTGTGGGGTGCCTCTTCTTAATGCACACTTACCCCTTGGCATACTCTTTAATGCTTTCTCATTTGATTTCCAGTCCCGAACCATCTTTTCTGTTACTCCATATTGTCTTGCAGCAGCACAATTATTATTTTCCTTAGCAAAGTTTATAACTTTCAGTTTAAAATTTGCATCATACTTCTTTCTTTTGGCTGGTGCCATGATAGGGATGATAGGGGTTTGACTGGTCGACATTTTCTATGCTGTACTGTACAATGGTGCAGTATTGTGGTTGGCTGTTGGCTGTATACAAAGCCTGATTTGATTGGTCCCTGCTCCCTGTTTGCCCGCCCTGTCACTATAGCAGTCTGGTCCACCCTTGCATCAGCATCTCCCTGGGACCTCACTAGTGCGCAAGTGCGAGCTCTTCAACATTCTAACAGGCACCATGATAGCGCAAAATCGCGAATCTTCAATACATATGTAAAGAAATATACGGTAACCCGAATTTACCACACTCGCAAAATCGCACACAGCCGACCATACACCCAGTATGGTATCGCGATTCGTGATTTTGCGCTATCATACTGGGTGTATGGTCGGCTGTGTGCGATTTTGCGAGTGTGGTAAAATCGCATAACAGCAAAATCGCATAACAGCCGAGCATACACCCAGCAGCGCTGCTGATGCCTGAACGGTATGTGGAATGAAGTGGGCGGGCATCGGGAGGCCACTATGGCACGGGGCAAGCACTATGGGCAGTCTATCTGAAGTGTACCTGGCGTATAAGACGACCCCCCACTTGGAGGCATATTTTTCAGGGCCAAAAAATCATCTTATACGCCAGCAAATACGGTATTACTAACACTAGACATCAAAATGAAAAGATAATGTGAAAAAGAAATTGATATCTATTTACAGCCTGTATAACGATTCATGCATTGATAACGAAGCAGCAGCAGTAGGATTGCTATATGGTAGCCTAGTATCACTGATGCTATTGCTTCACGGTAGCCCAGCCTACACACTAATGAATGGCTATAAAATTTTTATGGCATACATATTCATAATGCAGCGTTGGAAACATTGTTACACCTTTTTAAAAACCACTTACCCGTGATAGTAGGCTGATGCGCAGTTTCTCCAGTTACGAGAGAGGCATACCATATGGTAATACATTTCTTTGAAAACAAAGTTATAAAACAATGACAAAGCTAACACATAATTAATTTTACATGAACTGCCACTTACTTTATACCTATGTAAGGACAGGCTATCCACTCCCATACAAGCCCTGCTCACGATGATTTGTTTTTTGGGGTTTTTTTTTTTTGCACATGACGTTCTATACAATGAGTACTTAGGAGACAATGATGATGACAAAAACATGTCCTACAGTTCTTGCTGCACAGTTATTTGATTATCACACAAAAACACACAACAGATAAGTTTATTAACTGTGCAGCATGAGTATTTACTGTTAGTTAAGTAGAAGTGGATCATCATAAAAGCCTTCATCCTCATTGTCTTCACGAAGCATACGTAGGCTGAGAAGTTGGTGGAAGACGATGGTTGGTCTCTCTGTCTCAGGAGTGACAAGGGTGGAAGAGGTGGAGGAGACAGGAAGGGAGGCCAGAGAGCCAGGCGCACGTGGTGTAACTTTGCAGAAATGCACTAATTTCTGTCTTACGGTCTGCTTCTTCATTTATCTACAAGTGTTCCCACACAGTACCACCATTTGCTTTAGTTTCGGTACCAACGAAGGGTCCATGTCATAAGAAGTCAAATCAGCCTTGAGCAATCAGAACCCTGCTGCCCGATCATCTCATGGCAGCTTGTTTTCTGGCCCCACTTCCTCTGCGTCTTCTTCCTCACCATCTGGCACTGCTTCCGATGCACTCATCTCTGTCGAACCATCCTCTGGCAATTCCTCTGGTGTGGCCTCCATTAGCTCTTGAATTTCTCCAAGATCCATCTTTGAAACCCCTCACCCCCAACCTTGTTCGGCCATCTCCATACTCTCTTTCATGATTTCCTTGATTGGCTCTGTCGTGACGCCTGTGAGGTCACGCACAGCATCTGGACACAGTTTTCTGCAGCAGGAATCCATTGTGTTGGGCGTGATGGCTTTCACGGCTGTTTCCGTAACAACGATGGCCTCTTCTGTGGTGTAATCCTTCCAGGCTTTCATGATGTCCTCTCTATTGGGGCTCTGTTGCATCATGTTGACAGCCCTTTCCATAGAATACCGCTTGTAACGAGCCTTACAGGTCCTTATGCCCCCTGACCTAGGGGCTGCATTGGAGATGCCATGTTTGGGGGCAAGTAAACCACATGACGCCTTCGGTGTTGAACTCATGGGGTGCTGGGTGGCCAGGAGCATTGTCCAATATTAAAAAACTTTAAGAGACACTCCATGACTGGCAAGGTACTCCCTGGCTTCAGGGACGAGGAGTGGAACCAATTAAGAAAAAGGGTCTTCATGTTATACACAAGGCCTTCTTGTGCGACAACCCGAAGCCTGGCAGCTGGTGTTCATTTTTAGCTTCAG